CAAAAATTGCACCCCCCCCCCCCCCCGCCCCCCAGAGGTAACCCTCTGTAGCTACAGGCAAACTGCCAAGTGTGGAAAATTCCGAGTGAAAACAGCAGCAAACCTGCCATGATTGATTGACTCTGAGGACAGACGCAGCAGATCAATTCATCACAGAACACTGCCTCCAACACCCCCCTGAACACCTCCCCCCCCCTTCAAGACCCTGTTTACTCCTGTGGCCCCCTGCTGTCGAAGGACGGAAGGAAACCTGGAGAAAACAAATGGAAGGTAAACAACAACAAACCTGACGACGGCTCTTCAGGTTTTGTTATATTTCAATGTAAGAATGACTTGACTTTTCACTCACTGCACATCACGTCCGGTCATGACGTTTCTCAGGTTAGAGTACAGGTCAAAAGGTCAAAAGGTCAAACGGTCCAACACAATAAGAAAATGACCTTAAATCTATTTTCCTCAATATATATATATACACATATATATATTGTATATGCATATACAGTATATAGTATCAGAATATAATAGTATATAGTATCATTATATGTGAATGCATGTACATACATGTATACAGTGTATATTGTATACATATATAATGAGATATAGCAGCGCCTTCTTCATGTCACGTTGTGATTCTTTTATTTTGAAAGGGCGTTACAGTTGGACTGAGGTCGTGTTGGTCAGACCAGACTGTCTGTCTGTGTTTTCAGAGTCACTACAGTGAAGGTCCTCCACAACATGACACTGAGCGAGGCCTCCGTGTGTCCATTCATCACGGCTGTCACAGACCACTCACTTCCAGTCACACGGGTTTTACACCATTACACACTTTATCAATCACTCACTGCAGCCTGTTTGTGGCGCTGACGGCGCGGTTCTAACACGGTGACGGTGTTGGGGTAAAATGAGCCACAGAAAAGACAGAAAAGACAGAAAAAACAGGACAGAGAGGGGACGGAGGAAAACACGCTGCTACGTCAGGGACTGAAGGTTCAGTGACTGAGTTTGACTGAAGGTAAATGATGGTTTAAAATGTTTGAACATTTAATATTCTGGATAATGATGTGCAAAAGTTTTAGGCGGGGTTAAACCCAGGTGATGGTACCTCCTTCACAGCCTCAGAAACAAACGCTCTGCCCTGGTTGGCCAGGTTCAGCACCTTGCCTGCCGCATGAAGGGAGGCGTGGCCACGAGCAGCCAATCAGCTCCGTCCAGGTTAGTTCTGTTGACTTATAACTTCTTATTCTCTACACTCCCCCAGAAAACTTTTCCACAGCACTGTGTTCATTATTTTCTTTTTACCCATAATTCCCTCACCTCGGGCGTGGACTCCACATTACTGACAGATACTGAGCTCAGACCACAGCGTCCTGAGGAGACGACGATGATAACTCCTCCGTGTACGTCACTGCTCTCATATATATTTAATGTCACAACAAGACTTCAAGTCTAAAGATAAGGGTCAACAGGTCAACAGGTCACAAGGTCACGTGCTGTTTACCGTCTGTTTACCACGTCAACAAGCACCAACAACTGACCCAGACTCAGAACTTCACACTAATTACACCGACCCACAACCACCAGTGTACAATTATCAGCTCCGTGGAAGGGGGAGAACAGAGGGGAGGGTGGAGGGGGGGTGAGGGGGGGTGCGTCAATGATCCTGTTTTTGCTAATGCTAGCTGGCATCAGAGACAGGGTCGGACAGCCAGTGTTCCTGTCGGATGGTAATGATTCTGGTCTCTTTGTCATTCAGGTCAGACACTGAGCTCTGCAGCTAATGTGCACCGGGGCGACCACTCTGTCGGGGGGGGGGGGAGGTGGGGGGGTGAGGTGAGGGGGTAAGAGGGTGAGGGGGTGGGAGAAAAGTTTGGAGGAAGGAGAATTTAACAGGGTGACAATCTTAAGTTTTTCATTATCTTTCAAAGAACTCATGTCAGGGAATGAACACAACTCTGGGTCCAGCCGTCAGCATCGGGTCTAATCAGTACTGTTAGTCCCTTTGCTGTTATTGGCTGCAATCCTTATAATCTGTAGTTGGAATTCTGTCACATTCATTTGCGTTCGTCATGTAAGTTTTCATGATTTGTTTTTTTTTACCTTTTTCACAGGCGCAGTAACAATGTTCAGTTGTCATGAGTGTAAAGGACGCCCTCTAGTGGCCACAGACGATACAGTGTATGTTATTGATATATAAGTCGCTTTGAAATAATATTTGAAATAAGTTGCAGGAACAGCCAACAACTACTGAAAAAAGGTACAACACACTGTCTAGTCCAGATAATACGGTAAATGAATCTTTCTATATTTTCACCCAATCATCTTCTACCATGTCATCATCATGTCTCAGACTGGGAGGAGCTTGAGCTTGAACTATTATCTCAATCAAATTCCATCAGTGACCACTAGGGGCCAGTGATCACTTTGCTGTAAGGCCAGAGCCCAAACCACCGCACCACTGTGACGGCACTCATCACCATGAACGAACCAGTAAATCTGCTCGTCGATCGATGGTCACGTGATCAGGAAACACGTCTGATGCCCGGTAAGTGACATTAACCAGTATTATCAATACACCGAGACGCAGCGTGCATCGAGAACCAAAGGTCAATCGATTCACCTTTACAGGCACGAGTCCAAACACGGAGCGCGGGCCACTCAGGGATGATTAGAAGTGGGCCGTGTACACATCAGTCTAATTGGAGCAAAGTTAATTTGGCTCAGTGGGAGCGCGGTGGCCGTGTCTGATATGACAGCCTCTCAGATGAGATTACACACACTGGCCACGCTGCCATTTAACTCCTCGCCTCCTGTCTCCTGAAATCTTCTCCTCCAAATTGATCAACACAGACACACACACACACACTCAGGGAGAGGACTCCAGCTTCTGATGATCTGTCAACACAGAAAAACCTGATTGGAGAGGACAGCCGAGGCCTGACGTTCTGATTGGGCCGCGGCATCACAGCCAGCACTCAGACACTTTATCCCAGTGAAAAACCACAGCGTCGTGAGCGTCCACTTCCTGCTGCAGCGTCCAGAGAAATGAAACTGACACAACGTTTCCTTCTTCCATCAGCTTTATATCTGATTTAATTGGTTTTTAATTTGGTTTTTCACCCGTGATAAATGCCACAGCAACTTCATTATTTGCCCTCTGGGTAAGATGAGGTCACATTCTGCCATTTGTACAAACACACACACACACACACCCCTTCAGGTCTGTGACTTGAACATGTTAAATTAATTTTAATAATTTATTTACTTTTATATCAAGCTTCACCTTAATTTTTTTTTAAAAACTTTGTAATTGCCTTTATTTAATTTTCACTTTAACCTTTACCTTACTGTGTATCTTCAGCGTTACCTTTATCTTACATTTTTTTATTCAACCTTTATCTCTATTTTTACCTGAACCTTTCCATACTGTCTTTATTTACCTTTTATTTTACCTCCAACATGAACTTTACCTCCAGCTTTGGTCTCAGATTCACTTTTAC